TCCTAAAAACAAAATAAAAAATATTTTAATTTTTATAATATTTTACTGTCAATGGGTTTCGGGGTCTACTATACATTTTGACATATTGGGCAAGTATTATTGAAATAGTAGTCTCTATCAAGTATCATGCATTATATAGCCTAGTCATAGGCCTAGAAAAATAATTATTTTGTACACTAAGCTTAGCTTAGTGGGACGTGGTGGGGGAGTGTATTTCGAAAAAAAAATTAAGTTGACTCAACATAAAAGATTACAAAATGGGAAAAGCAGAATTATTGAAAACTCTATTAAACATAGGCCCACTATAGCTGTTTTCAGATACCTAGATGTCAGGTGAGAATTGACATGTCAGACAACACCTTTCTGCGGTTTCTACTAGTCCCTTGTGATCGCATGAAGCCACTTTCTAGACAATTCCGGTTTGAAGGCCACGAATGATCACCCCTCTTAGAACATCCAAGCACACAACAAGTAGCTTGAGGCACTTTTGCGCTATTATATTTATGAAACAAATAGAAAAAAACGATAACACAGCGAGACAAAGAACATGAAGAATGTAAACATCTGGGTATTTGACTACAGACAATGACCGCATCGCTACTGGCACCCTCTAGTGGTATAATTAGTTCGGTCCCGTAAAAAAGATAAGGTTGTGATAAAATAGCATAATATATTTAACTCTAACAATAGGGTTAACAGTATTGTCAATAGGCTATTTGTATTTAGTGCTGATTATTTATTCACAGGCTACCATAGTTAAGAGAAAGTGGGATTTCAAAATATTTTACAACTGTTCTTGAGTTATTGGCTGTTTTCTTATGTTAGAAGTATAAGACATAAAGCATATGGAGCTTAATGTTAAGTATAATGTATTGATAAAGGTATTCAAATAAAATAGTCATAATAGTAAAAGGGCCAGAATAATGAAAAAGAAACATGTATAGAGGATTATAGTTTGGAAATAAGATACAAAGGTAATTTTAAAGCTAGAATTAACTGTTATTATTCTAATGCTAGAAGTACAGGAATTAAAGCATATGGAGCTTATTGTTAAATACAAGGTATTAATAAAGGCATTTAAAGAAAAGAGCTATAATAACTTAATTCTTAAAAACTTAAAAGGGGTGTTGAGTGGTTTAAATATGTAAAATGTGAGTTACATCTTCTTCAAGTTGAGGATATCAAAACTATTAGCAATGCGATTGAATATATTTGAATGCCTGTTCATATGTTAAGCAATCAAAGTTTGTTAGGTGCGGTAGGTGAAAGAAGTGGATCTTATTTGGAAGGAACATTCACATTTAAGAAAGCTAATAAAAATGTGTCCAATTTGTATGTAGAGTTTGTAGGTTGAAGGATAAATTGGAGGGTAGAGAATATGGTTAAAGAGAAGAGTAAACTGCGGGAAATGGCAGGAGGATTTAAAGAGAAAATTAAACTTTTGCATATGATGTACACAATGGTTAATAATGACTTTCAGGTAGTTAAAACTATACTATTAAAGCTAGTACTTGTAGATTAATTATAATGTGCAGGTTCTAGTAAGTAACAAATTTCAGTCTTTAGTTTGTGCAGATGATGAACTTGAGGAGGAAAGGATAACAAAAGGAACAGACTGAGATGAAAATGAAGAAACATAAGGAGATTATTGTTGTAGGATATTCTTTAGTACGGCACGTGAATAGGATAGTCTGTGGAATAAATAAGGAGAAAAGGATTAGATTATGCTATCTAGGGGCAGGGGTGGAGGATATAACCGACAGAACAGGTGATATAGTAAAAGGTGATAGAAATGACGCAGTTTTTGTAGTGCTCATAGGGGCTAATGATGTAGGGAAGGGTAAATCAGAGGAGCTTATAGTAAAGTATAAGGTATTAACAAATGCATTCAAAGAAAAGAGTCATAATATCTTAATTTTGTAGGGAATACTGCCAATACTTAACTATGGGGGTGAAACTATCAGTAAATCACTAGTCTTAGGTTTATATCTAAGGAACAGTAGTATTTGGCTGAGTTGTATTTGTGGGACCAGTACAGTGAGAAATAGAAACTTTTTGGAATGGATGGTTTACGTTAAAATAGGTTAAGGGCTGGTTTGTGTGCAAAGCCTATTCATTCAACTTGGTTCATCAGTCTCTTAAGCCACTCAAGCAATATATGCTGTTTCTGATGGAAGGACAAATATAATTTTAAGGTTTATCTCCAGAAATATTGAAAACAAATCTAAAGATGTTATAATGTCATTTGGAACAGTCCTCCCCTTCCAGTGACACAGTGGTAAATCTGACTCTTATAAAGCTAAAAATCAGGTCTCAATACAGGTGGGCACAGTACAGTAGCCTATTGTGTAGCTTTGTGCCTAACTACAAATAAACAAACAAATAAAAATAACATTTGGAGTACTGTGTTCAGTCTCAGGCTCCTTATCTTAGAAAGAACATAAAACTTTTGTAAAGGGTTCAAAAGAGATCTACTAAGATGATAACTGGGATGGAAAGTTTGTCATAAAAGAACAGGTTAAGATCTCTGACCTGGTTTTCTCATGAAAAAAGAAGAGTTAGAAGGAACCTGATTCAGGTGTTTAAGATTGTTAAGGCAATTGATAATGTCGATGCATAATATTTTTTCGCATTTAAGGTTGAGAATGGTAAGACTAGGAGATACAAAAATAAATTTTGGCAGGGTAGGAATCACTTTCAGCTAAGACGGCTTTGGTTTTTTAATAGGGTGTTGATCTTCGGAACGGGTTGTCTTCAGGTGCGGTAGATACCATCAATTTATGGGAGTTTAAGGAAAATCTTGATAAATATTTGAATGATAAGGGTTGGCTTCGAGTTTTTTGGTTTATTAAATTATTGGATAGGACGGTCTAGAGAAACCAAAAGGTCCCTTGTTGTTCTTTAATGTTATGTTATAAACGAGTGAACGAAGACTATTTTGTTTTGCTTATAAAAATTTAGATTGTACTTTGTTTCCCATATTTCAATAACGACCTGATGGATGTAATGCTTAGATTTATTAGTATGACTGTCTGTACTCTTTGATGTATAGTCCTTTACTCATCACTGATAAATAGCATATAACATTTTTGGTCACAGTTAATTGTTCATTATTATTCAGCGGACAAGCAAGTAACTTATTTGTGAAATTTTCATCAAACAGATACGTTATTTTAGGTTATTTGTGGTGGGTAAAAAAAAAACCTATACTTCAAAGCCTACATTTTTTTAGATTCGAACAGAATATAAGGCCTAATGTATTTGGTTGCTTCACTCTCCAAAGCAGCAGTGATGAGCTGGGAATTCGGCGAAACTAATCCACTGCAGGGGGAGTAGTGAATCAAAAATAGATTGGGTCTCTACGTCATTTACAAAATCTTTCTTCTTTACTGAAATTACATGTAACAAACAAGTAATTGAAATTTCTTTTTAAGACATAGTTTATTTGTAAACTTACGCATATCGGAAAACGTTGGTTATGCTTACCATGGAGCTTGAACTTCAAGAAATAAAACATTTTTGTTATCGCTATATAGACTGGACTTTGCATTGTTCTTTTTTTTAAAGGATGATGTCAAAGAACCCAGACAACTATAAAAAACCATTACAACAATAAAACTCAATACGAAAACAGAGCGTGCCACATTTTGATACAAAACTTTCAAATTATGAACTTACAGAATTGTTGCACAAACAATAAAACTATACACAAATATATATATCCTAAAATATTTAGTAAGTTATAAAACAATTTTTAAGATAAGGCAGTACTTTCTGTAGGTTTGTATTTAATTGAAGAGCTGGAGGAAATTAATAGGTTGTGATATAGTTCGTCATTAAGCCAATCAGGGAAAAGAGATTACTTAAAAATAGTTTGTCTGTTTGTTAAATTACTTCACTTAAAGAATAACTGTCGAAGCTGCGAACTCGATTAGTGTATCCAAGAAAAGTACTTGTACATTAAGTTTAGAACACAGATTATAAAACTTGAAATCAAGATGAGAAAAAGGATCACGAGTCCAAGTAAATTAAAGTAGTCAAAATGAAGTTAAACTAACTTTAACGCATTATCAACCTTATGTCTTTTGTTGTATTTCAAAATTTGTAATGCATACTGGAGGGGTTCACACATTTTGATAAAAAGCTAAGAAAGAACGACCTTCACACTCCAGATATATATAAAATATTTTTTTAAATTTTAACCAACACTTCGCCTTTGCGGTTTCCTCAGGATTAATATACATATATATATTAACCCTGAGGAACTCGCAAAGGTGAAACGTTGGTTAAAAAAATAAAGAAATACTTTTATATATATCTGAAGTTTGAAGGTCGTTTTTTCTACTGTATGTTTCGAAAAGTGTTAGAGATGAAACATAAAGTCCAGAACAAATTATCAGGGAATACTTAACAGTCTAATATAATGATGATGTCTACAGAGAAACAACACGCACTATTGCATAAGAGGAACTTCGAAACATTGAACAAAAACATTTTATTTAGTATCAATAAAATATTAAATCTAATAACATCAAATGGCAGTCATAGTTATATTTTTCGATTTAATTCGAATTTGGGCAGATTTCTGTACAAGGAAGCTATATGTAGTACCTGTTGTTGTAAAACTAAGAGGAGTCTCTCGTGTTAACCTAGTTGCTTAATTCTAGCAATTAAAATGTTCGAATAAGAATTAAGTTCTACAGATACGTTGCTTGCAAAAGTTGAGTTTAGAATGATATTTGTAAATTATTTTAGTATAAACAATACTTTTCGTTTAAAGAAGGAGTCTGTATCAAACTATGTATTTTTAAAATATTGAGGTATAAAAGCTTAATATTTCTTATTTTTATGCTTTATGCTGAATACATTGAAGTTAAGTGATGAAGAACGTACAGGAAAAGCAATATTCATAAACACGTATTTGGAGTAATACTTACAGTTTGGTATGGAAGCACGTAGCAAAGATCGATATATGAAAATACGCTTTTAAATACTTGCAGATTCTTGGAACCTTCTTGCTCATGATAGCAATCAGCGCCATTATCGACGACAAGAATATGAATATAGCTCAGGGTCTTCAGCCCTTGCTCATTGGGCTATCTCTTACGGCAATCATCAATTGTTTTGGGTTTAACTGCCAGGCGTCACTTAACCCAGCTAGAGACCTGAGTCCCAGGATATTTACTGCTATGGCTGGATGGGGTGTAGAAGTGTTTAGGTGAGTATCTGAAGTTCACAAAGAAATATTTAACATTGTGATGAATCAGGCTTACTAGAAGCTATAAATTATACATCTGTGACTCGGTGTAAATGTAAAGAAATAGAAGTGAAAGAGCTAGTTAATATTTTATCACTGCTTAAAGCTCATGTTTCCATCACTCATTATCTTAAAATCACTATTTATGATTTGCAAGGATTTGTAGACGTATATGAATTGCTTTTGTATGAGAGTTGAGTAAAAATTGGCATATAAATAAACACTATTCATTAATAGCATCGTATAAAATATACTTTATTTATTTATCTATATTGTGTGTATAATAAATACTAGCTTCGTAGTTCGAAATATAATTATTTGAGGGTTTTTCAAATAGGAAAGAGGTTTCAATGGGAAAGCTGTGATACTTCTAATAGTAAAGTATAAAGATCAGTTTCGATTCTATGCCTAAGGATAATATTAGAATGAGAAGTTTCCACTTTCTACGGTGCATGTTAAGTGTCACCTGAAGTCTAGTGAGTGAATAGTCAGGCATACTGGAATTTTTTCTTACGGTTTTTTTGTCAGAAACAATATATATCTGGTAAAGTAGATTTACTTATTATAACTTTTCTCCAGAGTTTTCGTTAATACTTTTATTACAAAGCCTACTGATCAATGACTATTATGATAGAGCGTATGATCATTAACTTGAATTAGCACAAATCAGTAAATGCAGTCCATTGGAACATTCAGCTATGTTATTGAAAGTCCATTTTTCATTGCTTTTGTATTCCTTTGATCACCATTATAAATTTATCAAATTATTTAATATATAGCTTTCGAAATTACAACTGGTTCTGGGTACCTGTGATTGGTCCACATATCGGAGCAGTTTTAGGTGTATGGATCTACAAACTTATGATTGAACTACATTGGCCAGCTGATAGCTATGACTTCGATCAAAGTTTCAACAACTTTAAAGAGTTGACTTTTGGATCATCCAAACGAGGTTTGTATATTTTAAAGGTTGAAAAATATTCCGTTAAATGTTTCAAATCGAACTGAACTCAATGTAGTACCAAATACAAAGCAACAAATTCCATCTGAAAAGTTAAAACCATTGCCATGCATTTAACGAAGAAGCTAATGTAAGAATGGTTTAATTCTTCCACAAACAAATTAATTAGTTGACATTCAGCATTGTAAGCAATTATGTAAACAGTGAATAATATACAAATATTGTAGGATTGCTTCTCTTCTATTGTAAGAAACTGAACTTCACTAGAGTTTTGTCATACGTTGATAGTTTATACTGTGAATTGTCAATATCCAATCAATCAAACACACCAACATAATATCTATAACTGTACAGGCAACTGTAAATTGTAATGGATCCCAGAACAGAACACATGACAAGTATGTAGAAACTAAAGTTCTGGCTGGTGAAGGCTACTCCACGTGACAGATTTAGAAGAAATTTCATGTTTCAGTAGGAACGGGATAGAAACTGGATGGTGATAATATTAAATAGCATAGAAAATTAGTACACTTGATAATAAAAATGGTCGAGGTAGAAAGCTCAAACTATTCAAAAGTGATGTCAAGTAACTCAAGGTATGATTTTTAAGTGATACATGATAATAGAGATCTTGCTAATGATCTAGCTGTATGTACAGATGCGAATGTTATCTTCAGAACAGTAAGGTACATATTAAAAAGGAGTGGTATTCATGGACAAGTAACACCTCATAAACCACCACTTATGAGAAATAACCAAAACAAAAAGGCAAAAATTAGTATCAGACTTCAATAAATTGGATGAGAAGCTGGAGGAGAGGGTTCTTTAAAGAGGAATCCAATTTCAAGCTATTTAGCAACAATCAACAACATTTCATCTGATGGCAGTGGGGAGAACGACATCATGATCAACGTACAGTTGTGAATTGGATCTCAGCTAATGACATAGCAGAGCTACACAACATTTATGACACCCTGACTGCTAAAGGTACAAACAGAGATTTTATCTATCCTGACATTTTGTTAGAAACAAGACCTTTTGGGTATGGATTCATATTCCTACGAGATGAGTCCCAAGCATGCAGAATGTGGTGAAATGAAAAAAGAAAGGAAAAATGGCCGATGTGACTCTCGCAGTCATGGCTTTGCCTGCACAAAGTCATATTATTAAGGATGTATGGGATAATTTGGACAATGAGAAGGTCAAACGGCAACTAAACGATCTGATTGAATTTAGAATAATATTGGACATGTAGAACAATATTTCAGAATCGTACATTCACAAACTAATGATAACACAAAATCAAGGTCTACCGCTCTATTTAAAGCTAATACACAAGGCTAGTAGGTTTTTATTCGCTTTTTTGTATGTCCTGTAATAATGTATTGTATTAATGATAAACTGACCACCTAGTTACAAATAGGCATTGTTTTTGTCTTCTTTATGTGTACCTTATGTACGGTTCTGTAATTATTTACAATACTGTATTTTTATCTACCAGTTGTAACAATGATAGAAAATTTCAATAAAATTGGATAAACAGACAGATAGTAAGCAAGGATAGAGCCAGCTGTTAATTCTGATAACTTTTTGTTTTCATTTAACAATATTTTGACAAGATATGTATTCTAATATATAAACTCGATTGGTTGTATTCATTTCTTTTGGCCTAATTTCTGGAAAACTTCGATAAGAGTTCTTATCAAGAACTCAAGCTAAGTATCACATCTACACGTATTTAGCAGCGTCTTTTATGCAAGTTAAAACATCAAAAACAGTTTCATAATTATGAGACACTTGAAAAAGAAAATTATGAAATATAAAGTTCCCGTATCTCCATTTCTTCATGTGATATTCTTGTAGCATCGAGCATGATGTTATTATTTTTTACTATGATACGCAGATTTCCCCATTTTCATCTATATAGGTCACCCACAACATTAAAGTCATTTTAATGCTCGTGCTTCTTGCAATGTTTGAGCAAAAGTTCTATAAACGTTTCTGAATGGGAATGTTTTGTATTTGAAATAGAAAAGTTGAAATACATTTTGTGAGTCTGGAAGCCAGAGGTTAACATTTTATTTAATTCTTTCTTTTTCTTTTTTTAGTGGTATTGAAGAATAGATGTGTTTTTTATTTATTATTTGCAGATGTCAACGTAGAAATGAAGAATGTCGAAATAACTGATGCCAAGAAATAAGGATACCTAAGTATCTACTCCCACGTTGCAAGAGAATTACAACATCTCATCTATTGGAGATTTCCAGGACATATGCTAAATCCTGAAAGCAACTGAGTTTTTCTCACCATACTATGTCATCTTGGTTGGGCACTTTGTGTTTTGAATTGCACTTTTTGTTGGTTGTATATTGTTATCTACAAGAATCCTTTAATTAATCTTCATACCATAACGTGTAGAAGCACAGCACTGTTGTTGTTGCTTTTCTCTTTTTCAACAGTGGGAACCTTATCGTGCACTCAAGGTTTAAGTGTTTCTACTACATTTCCAGAAGAGGAAGAGTTCTGAAGTAAAGTCTTAGTTAAAAAACTTCAAATTTCTATAAAATAATACATAATATAATTTATTGAACTAGTTGCAAAGAAAATAAAATTGATTACAAATATAAATTCTTTTGTTTGTAATATGGTGAAATACGTTTGTATTAATGCCAACCCTTATTATAGTAGTGTGAACAGATGTTATCATCTTCGGACAACAGCAAATTCTGACGTTCAACATTTTAACTTTTTCCACATTGTTTGAATTACCCAACCATCCATTAACCAGGATAAAGTGCAGTGAATGATGTGCTGACAAGAATTACACGTATTGTTCAAAGATTATAGTCAGTTCAAGTACATATAGGAAGAGTTATAAACATTTAAGTTAGTACATTGTATTGAGTTAAACATTTGTTATATGATTTGTTGTATTTACTTAGACTGATATTTTCTAAAGGGATAGTTTTTAATGGTCAAGGAAATTAAAGTGTCATTTACATGCATTTTTGCAACCATTTTTCATATTTATGTTTGTTTATTTAAGCAAGTTTCGTAGTTATAACTAATGCTAACTGGGGCATTTGTTTGAATAGAAATACGGAGACGGTTGATTAATACAATGTAAAAATAAACTTTATTGATGTTCATCATTTTGAATGACCTGAGGTTTCATTAACTTAAGGTTTTATATATTCATCACTAACTATAACCTGATAATAAATTAATGCTTTGCAAAAATTACTTTTGTTGTATCATAAAGCCTAATTCCAGTGTACTCACCTGTTTATTTATAATGGAGGTAATTTTCTAGAAATTATTAATAAAACCTCTGAGTGAAAGTAAAGAAACGTGTATAATAATATACTAACTACACTATATTTGTTATATCCATGGTGACGAGGCCGTTCACGCCGTGCTAGGGCTTTTAGGCCGGTTGGGATACCTCAGACCTACTGATAGTTGAGATGCTATTTCTATAAGCAAGTTGCCTGACAGCAACTGTTACGATGTGAATCATATTTTCCTTGCACTCACTGAACAGCTTTTCACAACCATAGCGATAAAATGTATATTGATAGGACATTTTATAATTATCCCTACCTTAATATTGGGTTGATTCACTTTAGGCTGCAATAACAACCTGTGAAAAACACCTTTAAATGAGCAAATCTATTTTGGTAGATACTTTATAGAATATGAACAGAAGTACCCTCAACTTGTCCGAAGAGAAAAATTGTGGTAAATGTAAAGTTTGAGTTCATTCCAAAATTGCTCAATGGGTTTGAGATACTATAATCACTTTCACACTATTATAAACAGTAGAAGACAACATCAATGTTGTGAATTGTATCGATGTCATCTTAGAAGAGCTTTTGTTCAAAAATGTTTGATCAATAACAACGTTAAAATACATTCTATATGTCATTGATCATTCTAAAGTAATAAAAAAAACCTTCTGTATCAGAAATAACAACAACAAAACACACACACAAAACAAAACATTTATTCTTATCATTACAGCATCTGACAGTGTTGTAACAATATTGTATTGAACGTATTACACTTTTTCAGTCATTTATTGTTAACAGTTTGGGATTTAAGGAGTTAAACATTGATACTTGAATCCTTTTCACTTTTAATCAAATATGTAAATGGGCCACAATCTTTTATCTATTGCTCGTTCAAACACCTTTTCCTATGGTCAGTTAACAATGATTAGTAGCCACAGTTTTCCCTAGTAGATACTATTTTCCTGGGCTATTGGTAATTTTGACAGACTCTGATGATAAATTAATTTGAACAGACAGTAACAAAAATTGTATCTAACAACGGTATTTCTACTAGACTCGTACGCTCTATCATGCTCCTTTGAATCTTACAGATCTATGCTTTTCCTCAATGTATTGCAGACTACATTAATACCATTGTATTCTGCATGTACAAGACTCATGATCACATGGCCAGTGTCTTTTTCTTATGCAAGCACTTGAGCGTTTGTTGCACGAGTGCTTCAATAAAGTGACAATTCAATCTATCTATACTTTTTCAAAAGTAAGATATCGACGTAGTTGCATTATTTGTAAAGTTATTCCGAAAACTGGTTCAAAATGGATAAATTTTATAACAGTAGTTATAGCAAGAACGATGTCAAGAAAAACCTAAAATGAGACATTTTAAAAAGTGAAGCAAATATAGAAATATATATGATTCATTACTTACGACATCCTTAAATCCATGTCATGTAGTAATTACCACTATAGCGGCAATTAACGTATTAATCAAATATATTTTTATGGTCATTATTTCTGAGCTATATCTATTAAAAAATCCAATAATGTATATCAGCCAATGATAAATTAAACTGAGGTATGTGCATTATCATACTTAATTGTATTTGCTTATACAGTGGGGTAGGTAAGCAAAATATTAGTATGTGTTGTCCGTTTATCAGATGATATCTACTTGAAATATACCATAGCTTCGGATGGATCTACACTGTTGTAGTTTAGTCATCAGCATAATGGGAACCAGGCTGGTTATCATAATCTAAGGTGTGAGTTGAGTTCTTGTTGCAGCTGAGTCACTCTAAATCAAGTTCCTCAGTACTCCACGACCCCATTTTAGTGGTCACCGGTTTTATTCAACAAGTTTTATATGCTTACAGCAGTATAAGGTTCTCATTCTACGCAGAGGGGTTCTCGTGCACCTTGGACACCACCCCTAGGCTGTAGGTCACCTTGAGTGTTTTCCTATCAAAGATGTGTGTTGACTCCAACAATCTGCAGACTGTCTTGGCCTTAAAAGCCTGGTGAGAAACAGCGCCGATTCAGTGGAAGGAACATGAACTCAGGATAGTAACGTAAAGCAATACATCTACCTCTTCACGTAAATACTTTAGTGTTATGATATTTCCACACATGTTGTACACTTTTATATATACTTAGAGTACCTATAAACCCGAAGTGAAACGAAATCTGCTAAAAACTAACTACTACATATGTACAACATTCTCTACAAGTATTATTTCCGTATTTCACAAATGAATATTCCAGATCATGTCATATCTTTTCTCTTTTTGCATGTGTTAAAACACAACTAATAAGCACAGTATTCCCAACGTGGTCCATAATAACTTGTATAGGAGTACTTAAAGTAGTTAACACTACCTTTATTGTTTTATGATACGTTGGGGCCTTTAAGGGTATTGATGAGATTCATTCTTTTCAGACTACCTCCCCTCTGTGACTCAGCGGCAAGTCTGAAGACTGATAACGCTAAACATTGGGTTTCGGTACCCGCTGCGGACAGATCACAGGTAGTCCAGTTAGTAGATTTTTGCTTAACAGTAAACAATTAAGCCTCTTCAGATGAAACTAAACTGTCCACACAATTAATATTAGATATTTATTTGCTCAAATCAGTAACTTTTCGTCCAACATTATTCAAATAGTATTGTTACTTTCGTATAAATAGCAAAGGTGATTCTTATATTTAAGTTTTATTGAAGTTTTTAAAAGCAATTTGCTATCAGAGATTTTTTATAATTTTCAAAGTTACAAAACCAATATTTTTTTTAAACAAAAGTTCATATAGGGCTGCATTTCCGGCACACACTTTTTAGGATTGTAATAAAACATCTAAAAATTTAAGCTTCACTAATATAAACACATATTTTATTTTATTAATAGACTTAGAAACAGTAATATATGTTTCAGTTTAATGCTACAATTTTCTTTTGTTTTTTATTGTTCGGCGAGACGCAGTGGGCAATTTGTTTGTTTGAAGTTAAGCACAAAGCTACACAATGGGCTAGCTGTGCTCTGCACACCACGGGTATCGAAACCCGGTTTCTAGCGTTGTAAGTCCGCAGACATACCGCTGTGCCACTAGGGAGCGCGGTGGGCAAAATCTATCATTTTCAGTTAAAGATATAAAGTACAATAAGTTTTGACATTGATAAATTCCTTTCAACAAGTAATCTCCCTTTTTCTTTATGTTACCACTAAAAAACATTTTTGTAATTGACGAAATATAAACAGTTAAGTATTTCTGTTAATACCCGCCTCCTTTTAGATTTAAAGACGTAGCTAATTATGATCTATGGACTCAGAAGTGAGGAGATACAATGAAATATGAACTATTTTCACTGTGTTACCCCTTAATGTTGCCATTAAATGACAATTTAATAGTATACATGACAGAGCGAAGAATCAAGTTATTTTTAAATATTGTTACGAAAGGCTTTACAATAGTAGTATTCATAACATTTGTTTTTGCGTGTACGAAGATACACACTAGCAACCCAGAATTCTGCTAACGTTATAAATAAATTCATTGGATTTATGTAAAACATGATTTTATTTCTAGACCTTAAAAGGTATATCAGCTTACGGAATCGGAATTTTCAACCTGAGTGGCATGTTGTGAGCAAGTGGGCTGAGCAGTTAGGTCAGAGACCCCAAAGCCCATAATTTTGAACAATTGGCCAGAGGAAAGATAGCCAACCAGCCTTACCTGCCGCCACAAGGGCTTCGTTGTTTTTTTTTTAACAGAATAAAGGAATTGACTGTCATTTTTATAACGTACCCACAGCTAAAAGTACGGAGCGTATTCAGAGACATCAGGTCTCGAGCCTAAGATTATTCGATCCCCAACGAATATATTAAGTCACGTCCGACCTAAAACTATGCATTAAAATCAAAATCAAATATAAATTCAGCATAAAATCTATAATTGACGTGAACAATAAGTCGGGCAAATCAAGATTATTAGATTATAATAATGTTTGTATGATAAATATATGATATAATGAAACTATCTACGATTTGTTTTTTATCTCTACGAGGTTCCATTGTTAAGACCTATTCATGAAGGTTTATTTGGCTGCAAAGAGAAAGATAAGGAAATCATACATTATCTGTAATTAATAGAAGCACTAGTAAACAACAATTGTCGTTAGTGGTGTATGGGTAAGATATCATAGTCTGTACACTCAACAGATCCATAATCTAAAAAGCTGAAGAAGAAGTCTGTACACTCAACAGATCCATTATCCAAAAAGCTGAAGAAGAAGTCTGTGCACTCAACAGATCCATAATCTAAAAAGCTGAAGAAGAAGGTCATCATAACAAAGTTTTGGATAATTCAGTGCTATAATCCTTTCATTATAACCACATTTTCCAAATACAATTATATACATAACGACAATGGAAAATTACTTGCAGTTTCCCAACCTACTAACAAGGTTTCGAACAAGAAACGAAGCTGTAAGGATAGCTATAGCTGAATGTCTTGGAACAATGATTTTCGTGGTAAGCATATTTTTTAATTTCTTATTCTAGCAAAATAATGCATAAATATTTGTAAAGATCAACATTTTGGAAAGTTCAATACTTCTCTTGCAAAATAACGAAGTGACAGTATTAACAATATTTTAGATTTTATAGACAAAGAATATAATGGTACAGTTTATGTCAAAGGGCGCAATGTATAAAAAAATGAGGGATTGCAGTATGCATGCATGCACTTCTGGTCTTATAAAACAAACAAAGTAACGCCAAACTATTATATTTGAGACGTTTCAACTTCTAATATAAATATAAGTAGAAATATAAGCTCAAAGATATACACTAAATTTTCTGAACTACTTTGGTGTTGCATGCATTTGTTGTCACACGAAACTACTGTTATGCATTGTATGTATATATATATATATATATATATATATATATATGTATGTATATATATATATATATATATATACATATATATACATAAAATATGTATACATGTATTTCTTTGGTGTTGTTTCGTTTAAGTAGAATGTTAATTTAAAAGTGACAAATAGCACTTGTTATTGAACAAGTTTTTTTAAATATAGTATATATATATATATATGTATATACTGTTGTCTCTTATATTTTCATTCTGCCGGATGATGGCCCGAACAAATGTGTCCAAAACATATAGCAAAATAACTTTGTTTTGTGCAATAATAAATAACCTTGGTTTAAATGGCAAATTACTTTTATCAAATTAAATATGACATAGTTTATGAATAAACCAATTATTTCTCGCCTTATATATATTCAATCGTCTAGGCAAACACATGTGGTTTAAATTTCTTTTCAGAAATTATGATTATTTTTTTACCGAACGACTTCTTATTTTGTATCTGTACACATTTTTATTCTTTACAACAAAACTTTAGAATATCCTGCTACTTATGATCCTGTTATTTTGTGAAACGAAATATTTTATAACGCACTACATGTAGTCACAAAAATCATATTAGTAATTACACTTTACGTTATCTACTTCAGCAAAATTTTTTGTAGAAGTAAAAATTGAGGTCGGCAGGACTCAAACCAGTGACTATGACTTATTTTTAAGGTAGAGTGTCGTTCGAGAAAAAAATAGCATACCTATGGACCGTAAATTTCTATGCAAATCTGTATTCGTCAAAAGAGGCTAATAAGTTCCGTAAATTATTATTTTTTGTATTTAACATTGTTCAAAGTACATAAGAAGTATGAATATATTTGTCTAACTATACTGAATATAATAGCATGTCGAAATGTGACTTTCAGTCAATTTTTATATTCAGTTAAATTCTGTTGAGCTGCTATAGCGTATCTCTGTTACTTATCTTTATCTACTGTTGGAATCTTCCTCCCCTCAGGTCAATGAGTAAGAACAATTGACTATTCAAAACAAAACTACATATATGTGTTTATATATATATATTAAAAATAAAAATGAAATGTTTATACTTTTAATGTACATTATATATAGCACAAGGTAACTGAAAAGAAAGCATAAAAAAGCTATTCACTTCAACATAATCACTCAAACAAATGCATACATGCTTATCAAACATTTAAGTGCGTATTCTATTATTTTAGTTAGAATAGATCTTGACATCCTGATATTCTAGTACTTGGGCTTTGTTAAAGTAGCTAGTGACCTGTTGAAAATTTTACATCGCTATGTTTACAATAAAATGAGTAGAAACCTCCTGACAATTTCAAAACAATATGTAGGCTGAGCAAAGAAATCCTCTTACTTCGCTATGATTACAATAAAATTATAAGAAACCCTGAAAATGTCAAAAAAACATGTGGGCTAAGTAAAGAAATTCTCCTACACCGCTATGATTACAATAAAACAACTAGAAACCTCCTGAATATGTCAAGCAATATTTGGAATAAGTAAAGAAATCCTCCTACTTTGATACAGTTACAATAAAATTATTAGAAACCTCCTGAAAAGGACAGTATGTGGTCTGAATAAAGCATCACACAACAAACAAATTGTCTGTAAGAAAAAGTATTCTAATGTCGAAGAACTTTTATTTATATAACTAGGCTTTCTATCTATAGATGTAGTAGAGTTTAGATGGGTAACATGGTAATTTCGGTTCAACAACTCATATCTCTAAGCTTTATGATACTGTACATCATACCCTAAAAATACATAAGCAATATGACATTGAATTAACTGTTACAAAACTTCCTTTACCTTTCCTGAGAAAACATGCAGATTTATACATCTATAAGCATACATTAGAGTTGGGTTGACATAACTCCTTCAATACGAATTGTTCGTGTTTTGACGGAAATCAATGGTTGCTATAGTTTAATTTACACAATCTGTCTGGCTACTAAAATATGACATTATCATTAAATTTTAAACTACATCTCCAGCTTAGCCACTAGATGAAGTTATATCTTTCTGTTGACAGAGTAATCATGTGATGTGGCCTTTTTTTATGCAGATATTAGTGACTCCCTGTGGTTTGTGAGACAGCAAAAAAAAAACGTTCCCAGAAACAACAATTCAAACACCTGTTGTAAATACGTTAAAGTTCATATCAACAGTAAAATTAATAGCTTTTAGCGCTTTCTTTTATAATTTTGAATTGTTACATGCCGTTTCTTTCCCTCTTTAAAATAATAGTTACATTTATCACGAACTAAATAAGAACATGTTTCTATTAAATTTAGTAGACCCAATATAATATTATATAATGAATCTTTATTTATAATGATTGCTATTATATAGCCATTTACAAATTTATTCTTCAATGGCTTTCCTCTGTTTTATCACTTTCCATGGCTTCTTTAGCTTAAACTAACGAGAAACATGCATTTTTTTTGTTTTCGTATTTGAATTCCACAAATATCGTAATAACAAGTTCAGCTGCTCGACAGCATTAGAAACTAAACCATATTTAGTGAAACATTAAGCCAATTATACCGGTACAATAGTATGTGAGTTGAAATAATGGAGGAAATACAACATATACAAACAAACATTAATCGTTTCGATACGTGCGTTTGTTCGAACCATATCTGCAATTTCATGAAAACAAAATCTAAGAAGGAATTCATTTCGGAAGTATTATTTGCCACTCTACTGATTGAACTACAGTTAACAATGTATATTTTCGACAAATTCTTAATTCGCAAAGACTGCTAAATATTACTCACGCCCCCACTCAAATATTATCCAATTCTAAGTCTAGCTAAAACAATGTAAGCATTCAACCGACTTAAAAGACATCAATAACAATGACAACAACAACAAATCACATGTTTCTATTTCACTAAGATAAAATATAATTTTAAACATATTTATTGATTAGCGCCATCTAGTTTTAATTATTGAAAATAGTAACAATGAATTTGATATGTATATATATATATATATATTTAGATAAATTCTATCCTTATATAAATAACTAGCATTTAGAATAAGTGTTTCTTACGTGATAATATATAATATTAATATGATCGAAATAATGTTGGGAACCTCAATGCTTATGTGCTTTCTATTACAAGTTTAATTACAGTAACCCAGTAAATAACCGAGTCTTGATATTCTGGAATAAATCTATAATAATTGTGCTTACTCTTTATGTATTATCCATTCACGGATATCTGTATGGTGTAAGGTTTTATGAATCAAGAATTTGAATAAATGTTTGATTATTTATTTCTTTAAAATCCTTGCCAGCTGATTGGCGACTCTGTTGTAGCACAGTCTATACTTCCCGGGCCTCCTTACCTTACCTATATATCTGCGCCTCTAGGATGGGGACTAGCTCTTTTACTGGCTACTCTGGTTATTGGAGGAGTGTCAGGTACACAGGTTCCCATGTAATATTCAGTTTTTCTAAATGAGATATTTAAATGTTTTTGTATTTCATTCTTATCATTCCCCTTTCTTTTTATCTCAGTGAATGTTTTGTGAAATTAGTGACAAAAATACAACATTTCATAAAATATTCACGTGTAAACATAATAAAATGGTTCACAATAATGTAAATATAAACCTTTTGAAAATACGAAATATTTCATATTGTATATATAGAAATAAATCACATCCAATGATCAGTCCAATATTTATAAAATAAAATAGTGAAAAACAAATTGGAAGAGTATATTAGATACGCTATTCTGTTGGAATTGTAAAAATAGGAATTATATCATAAAATAAGTCAAGTTCTTTCTGTTAAATAGTTTGGTTGTTGGTAAGTATAAAATTATAGATGCTCTGCCAACCACGTGTATCGAAACCCGATTTTTAGTGTCATAAGCCCGCAGACTTAACGCTGAGAAACTAGAGGGGGGTTCATTTGATCTAATTATAATGTATTTAACTCAAATGTTGTATATCATCCTTTGACTTTGCATACAATTAAATTTATATAAGAACCTTTTGTAACTTGAATGATCGATTTTAATACGTGGATCGCTTTAAAGTTTTAGCTCAGATTAGAAACTTTTATACAGCTGAAGCTAACAGAAACAAATTATCACAGTTAAAACGTATGCTTCTCGCAATTCCCATTTAACTTCGTCCAAAATCGATAAGAAAACCTTTTTTTTTCTCAACACCCATCACTTCAAATGGAAGTTTTCGATAGAATATTAGCTGAAATATATATCACTGTTTGTTTTGTTAAGCACAAAGATTATTCTCAGTAAGCTTCGTTATTTTACAACAGGAAACTCATTGTCTCTCAAGTAACTATTACAAACAACGATTACAACTGAAAAGATATACACAAAGTGTTACAAACAACGTTTCACCAGGTTAAGAAATGTTTCATTATGCAAATGACAATAATAAGCAAAAGTAGTTAAAAGAAAACACAATTAATTCTATTTAATGGACAAGTTCAAATTGAATTCAATATTTTGAAAGTTTTATAACTATGTATTTGTTATTGTTTTTTACCTGATGAAACTTTGACAGATAGTTTAGGCAGAGTATTCATACTGAGTTGACTGTGAAATGTGTGGCAAATGCTTATCAGAGAACGTTGTATAAATATACTAGTGAGCATACAATCTACTTATGCAGCTCAAATGTAAAGAACGACGTTTCGAAACTCTTCCGCCATGAAGACGAACCTGAAGACGAACGGCGGACGACTTTCCGAACTTCGTCCTCTTAATTTCAGCTGCATAAGTAGATTGTACAGACACCAATATATTTATACAAGTGTTTCTTTCAGTTGTGTTTAATAATTGTTATTTATGTTCTCAGTTTTAGTTTTTGTAAATGGAAACTTTAAACTTCTAATTGGAATTCGTATATTACAGAATATGAAAGGAAGATGTTATAAGAAACATTTCAATGAAAACGTTTTGTTTTGAAACCTAGTGTTGAGCAAGAGGCCTTTCAGGAATGTTGTACTACATGACGTAGCATAATTGTTAATATGCACTTTTTCGGAACAATTAACGATGACCTAAGTAAAATTATTACCAAAGTTATCGTCAATTATTATCACACCTAATATCCCGAATTATTTATCTTTATTTTCAAATTCGCAAAATAATAAATAATTTATTTGCTCAATCTGTAAGGTGAAATTGTCAATCATTCTGTGATAATACTGAATACAATCAAATAAAAACACGTGCTTATTACGTTTAATTAATACTGTAAAAGTATGCTTCTTTCAGTTACCTTTTAAAAATATTGTTTGAAATCAATAAGAAAACCACTTTGCTTCATTCACCCAGTTCTACAGATGGAGGTTTTAGTTGGAATATTAACTGAAATATGGATTACTGTTTGTTTTGTTAAGCACAAACCCAAACAATGAGCTATCTGGGCTTTGACCACTCCGGGTATCGAAACTCGATTTCTAGCATTATAATTCCCTCAACTTACTGCTGAGCAATCGGGGGATATATATTACTAGCTGACGTAATCGTTTAAGATAAATGGAAAACCTAGGGTAACATAGGAGGTCAAGATATAAACGCCGACATTTCTGTGTAACTCTCCTGGCGGAGGATGGCTAGGGATACATGCGAGGTTTGGTGACAATATATCAAGTACTTCGTCGTTTATCAACGGACACACACACGGGTACTTTTGTCAAATAATGTTTTAGATATATATTATTTAATATGATGAGAAAATGGGAAGATACTTATAAAAACAGAAATATAATTAAGCCATTGTATACTTTCGTTATATATACTAAATTATAATAATAAAACCTTACCTATCTTGAAAGTTTCAAACCAAAGAGATGTTATGGGGTAAAATCTTCAGCACCGAAGAAGTAAGGGTTCATGTGTTATAGACATTGAAATTTTGATATTTACAGGTGCACATCTTAATCCAGCCGTTTCTCTAGCATACGCGACAGTAGGTAAACTTCGACTGAAAGAACTTCCTATTTATATGTTAGCACAATATCTTGGAGCTTTCTTGGGTGCTGTGTTGGTGTATTTTGTTTATAAAGGTGAGATTATGTTTTAAGTAAAATATTTTGCTCGTAAAATGAGCTATCATTGGACACTTGGTTTAAGGAAATAGTTATATTACAACTTACGGACTTGGATAAATTATGTCTTCTTTATCTATACCATTTTGTTTTTACTATAATCCAATCTCTTCTTACAAATTAATTTTAACTACAAAATTATTATTATAACTTAGTCAAAGTAAATGTTAGATATATATAACTGTTTCCGTTTAAATATAGCGCGAATGTTAAATTTAGTTATTTTTAGAAACGATAGTTTATCGTAGGTTTCTTTACATAACTGTGTTACGAATCATACATTGAATAGTTTAAGTTTTTCTCGCTGTTTCAATTGAGTATTATTGTGTCATATTAATACGTAATGGGTAGAACGTTCTAGGCCTCTGTCAGTCAACAAATACGCGTACAAAATGTTTTTCAAGTAAGATAGACAATTAATCATATAGATAGCCAGAGCTATATTGTGTGTTTGTGAGTTTAGCCGAGTTTAACTGTAAAGAGTGTATAGACTTTTTGAATGAAATTATCGCATATTGTATTGTACCAACAGAGTATAGAAGAATAATTTGTATTGTCAGTTGTGTTCTAAAGTAATTGAACAAACCTGTGTGGACTTTTGACGAAAAGAGACAATTATTTAAAGCTCTTGATACAATTGTAATAACCAAAAGTGTAATGTAAGTGAAATTATTACCGACTGTATTGTAACAACAGAGCAGAGGAGAATAATTCGTCTTGGCAATTGCGTTCTAAAATAAATGAACCATCCTGTGTGGACTTTGACGAAAAAAGACGATTATTGAAAGTTCTGATACAACTGTGCTGATTAACTGTGTAATGTATATATTTTTATATATGTTTGACCTGTTTTAATATATTATTTCAAAACAAGTAGATTGTGTGCTGTTTGTTTACTGTTGAAATTTATCGCCAACAAGTCTCAGACACCTGCTGTAATAAATCCTGTCCATCCATATATAAAAGCTTGACATTAGTGAGCCAGCCAAGATTATACAGTGATGAACAAAAGTAGAAGAAGACATGAACGATAGCAGAAACAGATCTATATACACACAGCTGTAGTGGTAGCGAAAATATTGTAGAGGTCACAACTATGCTATATAACCACGTCGACTGACTTTGATAAGTGGGTAGAGAGGGGCGAGCGACTTGGGCTCAAATATAGTTATCTAAGAGAGTTTGTTAAACAGAATCAAGAACTAGAGAGAGAGAAGAGTGCCAACAGAGAAGAGAGAATAAGAATAGAAATTGAGAAAGAAGAAAAGAAGAGACTGGAAATAGAGAGAGAGTGAATACGAGCACAAGAAGAAAAAGAAGAGAGAGAGAAAGGAAAGACTGGAAATAGTGAGAGTATGTGGGTATGACGTCAGAAGATGCCATAGTCCATGAAAAGTTAAAAGTGGCCTTGCTGAAATGCTATGAACTCACCAAAGAAGGTTTTCGTCAGAAGTTCAGAGAAGTCCAACCTGACACTGGATAACCTGTATTTCAGTTACTGGCATGCCTATGGCAATATTTTACAAGATGAACTGATATGGCCAATTATGAAGATAGTTTTGAAGGACTGGCAGATTTACTAATATGTGAACAGTTCATGATCACATGCTCTACTGGACGTGGAGAAGATGATCAAGCTGGAAGAAACGGTATATGGAAGCCATTGGTGGGAGTATAACTGGCAAATCTAATAATATCCAGTTAAAGTCGAAACCAGGGTGCCTGGCCAGAAGAAGAATGCACCAAAGGTTACAAGATGTCAACAGACAAATGGGAGAAGAGATGTTATGCTTGTTATAAAACGGAACACATTAGGAGGGGGTGCAAATCTGTCACCAACTAGCAACTGCAGATATCTCAACATAAAACAGCTGTAGCTACTTACAAAGATGGTGCTGGGAAGAAACAAGAAAAGAGTGACTGTCACCATGGATATTGCTGCAATAATAACTAGAATAGAGACAACTTATCAGATTCACCACAAGAAGGAAGTGCTATCATCATGATTGATCCGTGCATTATTGATGGTCAGCTCAACTTAGCAAGTGGGTCAACAGTGCCAGTGGTGATTGGAGCATGTGAAAAACATTGAGAGGTGCCAACAAACCACAACATGCCAGTAGATGAAGATTATATCGTGGATAAGAAAGACGCTGGGTGCAGCAGTAAGAACTAGTCTAGTATCTGATGACCAGATGACAAACAAGGTACATCTGTGTGTGCTGAATTAATGGGGCAGTGAAAAAGTTTCCCATAGTAAGAATAAAGGTGGCCAAACCATACTATATAGGAGACCTTGAGTCCATGTGTATGAAGGCATCAATCTATGACTTGGTGATTGGCAATATAGCAGGCAGTAGAAGTTTAGAGGAACCATACAGAAATGAGACTGGTGAGGAGTTTGAAGTGACCACAAGAGCTCAAGAAAAGAAGAGCAAACAAGACACCAAGTCCTTGCAAGTATCGAAACGTGACATCCCGAATGTGCGTCTACAGGAACTGAAGGAAGCACAGAAGAAAGACCCTTCACCAGATAAACTTTAGGACAGTTCCCGGGAGAAAGTCGAGCACAAGACCAAGGAGAAAGGGACTTACAGAATAGAGGACCAGAAGGGAGTGCAGTACAGATCTATCATGGAAGTTCTTCTGGGGATGTTAAGCAGATCATAGTGCCGACGAAGTATCTGACTCAAGTGATGCAGTACGCTCATGATTCGATTGGTAATAGGTATCTGTATATATAATAACATTAGAACTTGTCACTCCATCCCTTGAGAGAGATCCAAGTCATACAACATACTGTGGTAATAGGTGTGTATACATAATGACCTGAGAAAGGTTATTTCATCTTTTGAGAGTAACCCAAACCATACAACATATTGTTGTAATCGGTATATATAAACAATGACCTGAGAAAGTTTCACTCCATCCCTTGAGAGTCAGATGTCATTGGAGATGTGACCAGATTTTGTAGGTTATGTGACATGTGCCAAAGGACAATATCTAAAGGGAAGATAGCTAAGATGCCACTGTATGAGATGTCTCTCAGAGAAGAGTTGTTCAGCAGAGTAGCTCTGGTCTTGATCAGACCACTGTCACCCGTATCTGACAAGGGCTACAAGTATGTGCTTAGAGTAGTAGACTATGCAAAATTTTACCCAAAAGTCATAGCACTGCCAAAAATGGAGAGAGTAGCAGAAGCTTTCCTGGAAGTGTTATGCAGAATAGGCTTTCCAAAAGAAATCTTAGTGACAGAGAAACCCAGTTTACCTCAGAACTGGTGCAAGAGATGTCTAGACTCATCAGTACTAGGCAGCTTTTTACCACCCCGTACCCCCCAAATGTAATGGACTTTGTGAAAGAGTCAACCGAGTCTTAAAAATGTTAAGGGAGATAGATATGCCAAGAGAGACCACGTGACTGGGACAGGTACCCGCAGGCAGTGTTATTTGCTTACCAAGAAGTCTCACAAGCAAGTACAGGATTATCACCCTTCGAGTTACTGTATGGATGAAAAGTATGAGGTCTGATGTATATATTAAAAGAACTGTTGACAGAAGAAGAGTCAGAAGTGACGAACACAAACCAGTATGTGTTACACTTCAGAAGCTGACTGGAGGAGACCTGTCAACCTGCTCAAGAGAGTTTGCATGTTGCTAAATGCAGTCAGAAGCACTTGTATGACAAGAAGGCCTAGGATCGACATTTCAAGGTCTGACAAAAGATCTTGGTTCTTCTACACACAGACAACAAATAACTCACCCTGCAGTGGAAGGCATAACAGCACGAGGACCAATGCAGATATTGAAAGAACTGTTGACAGGAGAAGAGTCAAAAGTGATGAACACATACCAGTATGTGTTACACCTCAGAAGCCGACCGGAGGAGACATGTCAACCTGCTTAAGAGAGTTTGTATGCTGTTCTAGGCAGTCAGAAGCACTTCTATGAAAAGAAAGCCAAAGATCGACATTTCAAGGTATGACAAAAGGTCTTGGTTCTTCTACCCAAAGGCAACAACAAATTCATCCTGCAGTGGAAGGAAACTTTCGAAGTGCAGGAATTGATCAACAGAATGGACTAATAGATTAAAGTGGATGGGAAGACGAAGGTCTATCATGCCAATATGTTGAAGAGGTACTTTGAGAGGGAATAAGATCTAATGGGTGCGGGTATTGAAGCACAGATGGACATTGCAGGCGTGGCTGTCATAGACGCAGAACCTGAAGACAGCAACTTTGTCATAGAAGATCAATTAGTCCTAAGACTGTAGGTTGGAGATGAGATGTATACAGACATTAACATCACTGAAGAACTGACTGGTAAGCAGAACAAAGAGCTATAAGATCTACTCTGCCAGCATCCAGATGTCTTCACAAATATATCAGATATGAAAGACTTTGTGCAAAACAAGATGGACACCATGACGAAGAATCCAGTACAGGTGAAGCCCTACCAGATGCCTTATGCAATGAGAAACTAGATCAAACAAGAAGTGGAGGCAATGTTAGAAACTGGAATCATCGAGCTCCCAAATTCAGCCTATTGTTCACAAGTGGTAATCATGAAGAAGAGAGATGGCTCAAACCACTTCTGTATAGATTTCTGAAAACTGAACCTCATGACGAAGTTTGACTCCAAATCTACTGGCAACCCAAAGGTTACCATGGTGAAATTAGATGAGGCCAAGTTTTTCCAAGACTGACCTCAATAAAGGTTTTGGCAGATCCCAATGGAGACAGAGTCTAAAGAGAAGAAAGCTTTTATGACACCATACAGATGCTACTAGTTCAAGAGGATGCATTTGGGTTAGTCCACTCAGCAGTAACTTTGAACTGCATGATGAGGAAGATGTTGCACAAAACCATCAACATTGAGCTTTATGAGGACGACATTCTGACCCATGCACCTAGATAACAATACCGACGGAAGAAGCCCAGAGAGCTGTTTGAATGATTTAAGGCAAAAGGTTTGACCATCAGACCATCTAAGTGCTACATTGGTTATTCTGTGCTGGACTTTGTTGCACACAAGGTGGTTGACCAACAGATAGCCATGGAAGAAGAAAAGCTAACATGCATACAAGACGCACCAGCTCCAACATCCAAGCAGCAAGCTAGATCCTTCCTGGAGTTAGCGGGATACTACAGGAAGTTCATCCCAAACTACACTGAAATCGCTGCACCACTGACATACATAACCAAGAAAGATCAAGCCAACAAGGTGAAGTGGGAACAATCACAGCAGATGGCATTGCTAGAGCTGAAGAACATGTTAGGAAGTTCGCCAATACTTAGAATGCCAGACTTCAACACACCATTCATTGTTCAGACCAATGAATCATATTGAAATTGGAGCCGGACTTCTGCAAGAGCATAAAGTCAGACTGATTTTAGTAATGTACATCATGTACAGAGAAGAACTACTCTGTGATTGATTGAAAGTGTCTGGCTATCATACTTGCCATCCAGAAATTACGTAACAACCTCTACAGGAAGGAGTTCATCATCCAGACAGACTGTCAGCAAACTGCTTACATCCAGAGATGCAAAATTGACAGTACGAGGAGTAGGAGGTGGGTGTTTTGCATTGTAAACATTAAGGAGACTGAAAATGTCGTGCAGACTGTATGGGTAGACTTTGTGCATGAACTGAAAATAGTATTTGTATATAGTATAAAAGTATTGTAAATATTTTTCTTGAAGAGAGTCTTATTGTTAGATATATAGAAATGTTCCCGTTCAAGTATAGTGCGAGTGTAAAATTTAGTTATTTTTCGAAGCGAAAATTTATTGCAGGTTTCTTTACATAACTTTGTACAAACCATACGTTGTGTAGTTCAATTTTTGGGAATTAGCACTTGTTGTATTATTACATCATGTTACCAGAAATGTCTAAGTTTTTATTGTTGTTTCAATTGGGTATTATTGCACCATATTATCGCAAAGCATGTAGAACGTTCTAGGCCTCTGCCAGTCTGTAAATATACATACAAAATGTAGGTCATTTAAGATAGACAGTTAGTTAGTTATATAGATAGCTAGAGCTAAATTGTGTATTTATGAGTTTTGACATAAAGAGCGTATAGTGGCGCTTATTTTAAAAGTGAAATTATCACAGACTGTAACAACAGAGTAGAGAACAATAATTTGTCTTGTCAATTGTACTCTAAAGTAATTGAACCAGCCTGTATGGTCTTTGACGAAAACGAGACAATTATCTAAAGCTCTGGATACAACCGTGCTGGTTAACTGTGTAACGAATATTTTTGTATACGCTTAACTTGGTTTAATAAATTATCTCAAAAGAAGTGGATTTTGCACTGTTTGCATATTGTCGACATTTATTCCCAAGAAGTCACAGACACCTACTGTAAAGATTTTTGCCCATCCACGTATAAAAACCTGACAGTAAATTATATTTTTATTGCTTTCTCGTTGTGATAATATTACTGCATTTATAATCTATAATCTGACTAGCACACTTTACATGGAAAAAAACAAAACAAAAAAAAACCGTTAAGACAGAATAAAGGAAACAGCCATGTGAAGATGTGATATGCGCAAAAAATTGCCAAGCTCTGTAAATATTATATTATAATATATAAAATATATAAAAATATTATAACTCCTAAATACAAGGACGTTCCAACTGTAATATTTATTGTTGGCTGGTAAGAAAGCTGTAAGAAAGCTAGCTGCAAGTGTAATGATAACATCATTTACACTAGAATTATGAATCTTGTTAATTACTACTAGTTATTTAAAATACTTATAAAAGCTGATACATTGTACTCCGTTTGAAACTATGTCACCTCAGTAAAATTGGTTAACAGTATTGTTTTTGTTTTCCAGCTATCATGTAATAAAAACGAAGCATAAGAAAGAAGAACAAGAAATTCAAATCTTTTGCTATTATATTTACAGACATTCTCAGAATTTGTGACTCAGTCATTACATAAATATTGTTATTAAAGGAAACATTATATAATATTGTAAAGTTCTGATGACCTATTGAGGAGGTATTTCGATGAATAATCCGAGCCATCCCTACATAGGCAGTGGTACCACCTGCCTGATAAGGTGTTGTACCCTTATAGTATTTATTCCTTATGGTTACAATATGTTTTGCCTAGTCAACAACAACAAAAAAAGGTCAATAGTTTTGCTGCTTTTTAACAAATTATATCTCTTAATCTGTAACAGATATAAAATTACCATTTTTGTGTTAGAGTGTTTAGATCCGTTCAGAAGCACAACAACAGTAGTTTATAGCGTTTAGAAAAACTGTGGCAATACCTCAGATTTGGACAAGTATCAGGGACTGTATATATAGTTGCAGTAGTGTGTTTTGTCTTGGCTGGATTCGGTACTGTGTCTCTAGATTATTATTTAAGAATTATTGGTAGTGGTGTTTCTGTTTACCCAAAGTGTATTATTCACAGAGACGTATTGAAATCAACCCTTGAGTGATATTCATACATACTTAACCAACGTTACCAAGTATTCGACTTTTGATAAGTAATTCGTTGTTTCTCATGAAAGCTTACATAAAATGACTACCCTGTGGAATCTATCTAATAACAGGATTTTATTAGAATAATTAATGAAAAGCAGTTACTGTGAGACGTGTCATATGCTTTAATATAATGATGTTTTATCATGGTTCCACAATATCATCTATTTACATTATTTAAGACATTAGTTACAATGACGAGTGTCACTATTTGCTTTGCGAGTTTTCTCTTAGAAAAGAACGTTGTTCATAAATTAATCCCTCCCTTTATGTATACATATTTTAGACGCTATTTATGCAGTAGGGAAACCTGGTGTATGGGAGAATTCAGGAGAAGTGACAGCGATGGTCTTTGCATGTTATCCATTTAATGAAGTTTCAAGCGGAAGGTGTTTTGTGGATCAGGTAAGCCTCCTGTTAGATTTTGCTTAATTTTAATACATTGTATTTAAATCTACAGTTAAATATGACTACAGGCCTGATGAACATAGACGACTTTGAGTATCCTTGAATTTTTTCAGTCGAATGAGTTTTTAAAACGTATTGTTCCAGGTTGTTGAAGATATAAGAAAGAAAAACTTTTTTCCAGGTCGTATCGACAGCACTACTATTACTGGCAGTAGCTGCTATTTCAGATAAGAAAAACATGGCAGTACCACGGCCTGCTCAACCGTTTGCAATATCTCTCTGTTTAGTAGGGATAATTTACGGTTTTCTAATGAACAGCGGCGCTCCTCTTAACCCTGCCAGAGACTTAAGCCCCAGGATATTTACAGCAATGGCTGGTTGGGGAAAAGAAGTCTTTAGGTAATTGTTTTTTTTATTTTGTTGCTTATACCTTTTTGACTATGAGATAAATGTAGATATTAATTAATTTGTTTGTAATTAAGCACAAAGCTGCACAATGGGCTATCTGTGCTCTGTTTACCACGGGTATCGAAACCCGGTTCTAGCGTTGTAAGTCCGCATTAATTAGTAGAAAATGTTTTTGGAATGTAAAAAAAAAGAAGAAACTATAAAAAATGTGTGATTTCTAACAATTATGAGTAAAACTGATAAATTCCAAGCATTACCAGTTAAAAAAAATAAATAAATCCAGAACCACCAAATTTCATAGAGCGACAGCTGTTATACAATTACATGTACCAACTTTGTACTTGAAATTAATAAGTTCTTATAAAACTAAGAGTTTGGAAAACATGGAAACTATATTTTTGTTGTTATGACTATACCTGAGTTATTGTATATTTTGGTAATACATGTACGTATTTCAATAGAACTTTGGTTCCTGACATAGATAGACAAATATTCTATTGAAACTTGTACAAAATAATTTTATTGTGAAATTTTAATCTGCTTTTTTATCTTACACGTTACCTAATACTATCATACCAAAATAGTAGGAAAACAGTTTAACAAATTGTCTTAACTGAAACCATAAAATTTTCTCAATGCTCTAACACAGCATATAGTAGTACAGTTTCCAGATAGCTATAAAAAGATTTTGACCCCTTTGTCTCTTGTGCACTAGATCCTTATAACATTTAACACATCATTTAATTAAACAATTTAACATCTAGTGAAATGTCTTAGATATTAACTGTTTCCCGCACGTTTTTTCCCGTTATCTGTATCAAGACGAAATTGTAACTAATAATGTTTAAGATATGTTATTTAATAATATTAAAAAAACATAAATATGAAATCGGATCAAACCTTGATTTTGTATTTATAACAAAGTTACTAAGATTATCTGCTGCCGTTCCTTATTTTAAATAACTGACCATAAAGAAGGCAGCTAGTAATTAGCACCCTATATACTAAGGGACTGTTACTTTTATAATCAACCCACAGTTTAAAGTGTGGTGAATACACTGTGATACTGTATGGATTTGAACCAGGCTATCCACCTCCAAAATCCAGAGCTTTATTACAGAACCATCCTGCGCCCTTTTAAGTGAAAAAAACGTATTTGTATACTGACTTTACCAATTCTTTTCTTATTCATAAAAGGAAGTACATGTTTATGTTCTAACACGACTGGTACAGTGAATTAAAGTGTAAATATATTATGATATTCGCTGAAAAAATTAACCTTGAGGATAAGACATAAAAACGGCATTTACGTAAGATAGATATTGTATAGCCTTCTCAAAATGTTTAACTTTAAATATGATTCAAAACAACGTGAAATATTTGTGCAAAACTGATTTGTAAGCGTCTTTTATACCACTACTAAAATTTTAATAGGATTACCGACTTTTGAACGTTATGAGATTTTAGATACGAGGTGATTTCTAAAAGAAAAAAAAAACAACAGCTTTTTTTCTTTTCAAAGTTTTACACTTAATCACGAACGTTAAAGATGGTTTTATTGTTTGAATTTCAATATCTCACAATTAGTATTTAAATCCGAATCGGTAAACGTAGAAAACATGTTCTATTTTCCACTTTTAAAAAGAGCTCTGAATGTAATGTGTGAGACTAAATGAATATAGGTATATTTAGTTACCGTGATTACAACTGGTTCTGGGTACCAATCATCGGACCTCATTTGGGAGCAGTTATTGGGATATGGATTTACAAAATAGCGATTGAAATACAATGGCCTACAGAAACCAGAATAGAAGAAGGTAAAGGAATAACTCTCTTCACATGTTTATAAACATTAATAATCAAAATAGTCTGTTATAATTTTTAAGGTTTACTAATTTTACTTTTTCATATTTTAGTTAGTATAGTATCCTTGTCAATAAACTTAAGCCTGTTACAGGCTTTAAACATGAATCATCAACAGTTTTTTTAGATTTCACTATTTGTGAAGGAATAAACAAATGTTGTATATTTAGTGATTAACTTCTTTCTTATAGAATTATGTCAAAAACTGAACAAGTTAAAACTAAATAAGTTATAAAAGAGCATTCATTTCTGCAGGACTCTTTAAACATGCCATTAAGATTTTAAAACTGAAAACACATTTTAACAAAACTTGTTTTTATGTTAATATCCAATTAATAATGACATTAAATCAAATTAACTTGTAATATGTTTCATAATTTAAGTATGGATTTATACATGTCATGGAGGGGGTATTATTTGACTTTTGTATATTCTCTTTGTACTGTAAACAAGTAATTTCCTTAAAAAAGTAATTTTGTAAGTCAATAATATTCTAATGTACAATGACAAGCCTGAAAATTTACTATATTTCACAGTTTATCTAAAAAGCTATTTAATATAATACGAAGTAATTTATAATATTAAGAATATAAATAGATAACAAGTAGGATTGAGGATGTTTTTATACATCTTAATACTTTTTTTTAGACTTACAGATGGAAAATCCTTTTGAAAGACAGGAGTCCACGTGATGTCGAAGCAAAGGAACATGCCAAAAACAACTTCATTGTTATTGTATTTGTAGTTACATATATCTTTGATAGAACACCAAAATCAGAAATATCACTTTTCCTGAATGACTATTTAAATAATTCTTTCATTTTTACCTCCAATATATCTTTTCTGACAAATGAAATGTATAGCAGTAATGATTTATCAAATAAAAGAATCATAGAAAAAAAAGATAATTTTAATATTTAGCTTATCACTCACAATGGATCTGAAACGCGCAACATCGTAAATCATGGACTTTGTATTACTGAGTTATTATGCTTCACAAGTAATTCAACTCAATGTTTTTTGGAAAGTTGGATAATTAATGCAATTATCTTTATTTTGCTAAAGCGTATGCATTTCAAATAATTTTAATCAAATATCTCTTTCGAAATTTTATTGTGACTTTAACAAATGTTCTACATTGTTAATTGATTCATTCTTTTTGAAGTGACGATATATTGGTTTAGTGCTATATTCGTATCCAATAACATCAAATATACCCATATTATTTTTCCCTCAAACTGTAAGCTCAATATGTTGTGTCCGCATTGTTTAACTTAACAATTAAATTAATAATTTATTCACTTAGTTTATCTTTTCATAGCTCTGCTGAATTATTTATGAATCGAGTTAATTAATTCTTTTTATGGCAGTAATGCTATTGCAAAATGTATAAAATTGACCGTTCACAATACTTGTTAATCGATACACGAGATAATTTGGCAACTGGTAGAAATAATTTTACAAAAAATAATTTCGAGAAGTAAATAATATTAAAAAAAAACTTTGAAGTTACTAACGTTTCGTATGTCCTAACCACTGTTTTTAGTTAACGGAAGATAATTATAAAATATAATATTAATGAATATTATATATTGTTAAATAAAATATCTAGCCTTTGATAATGATATGGATATTTGTTAATAATTTTAAACTTACAGAAGTAAAAGAATATTTATATACTCTAAATGAAGAAATTGGTTAAAGAAAACCTCGGGTTTAGCTCTCCATGGTGGCTGAGTTTACAGAATCTTGGTGGATAAATGCTTTCATCTAAATCCAAATTTAACAAAATTTAGACAATAAAAATTTTTCAACACTATATTAAACTTTTTTTTAAAAAGTTACAGTTATCAGTTATGAAGATTACTCTGATGTCGTAACGCATCCTAATGATATTGCAAAGAGTTGTTTGACATGACAAAATTATTAGGTCGTCAAGATGAAAAAAACCTGAACAACTTATATATCAAAACAAAACATTCATTAAATAGAATAGTATCCATTCTTATCGATGATGCTTTTCCATCTTACAATCAGGTTGTTAATGCCCTTATTAAAGGACT